TAGATGCTCCAGAGTTTTGCGTGCAGGACTGATGTTATCCCTATATTCTTTGTAAAACATGTAATTCATTCACCAGTGGAGTTACGAAGCACACCACCAATCGAACCTCGCCCATCAAGTGTCGCAACTGCGCCATCAATGTTTAAATACATCCATCCTTGGGTGGCGGAGACCACGTTAGAGTAGTCGCATGCTGTCTCAGATGCCCAACAAGAGTTTTGATATTGCTTTCATAGTATTTGGCCCAACTATAACTACTATGAATAAGCAAATCTGTTTTATAAGTGGCGCTTTTAAAAACATAATCATTCATTTGTTTCTAAATTTGCCAAATGAGAGCAACAAAAAAAGAGGACCAAGAAGGATCAATATCACATAAGGGCTGCTGCATGTTGATGTTTTGTGTAATCCATGAATAAAGATAAGCATCAAAGAAACTAGTGTAGGTGGATTGGGGTACAACGCGCAACCACAAGTGTCAACTTGGTGGACAGAATTACAGTTTCTATGGTAACACTACAAGTCGGGCAGAAATAGTTATTGTGAGCATTCATCTTCCTCGTTCGTAGTTTGTCATGATATTTTCTTTATAAGCAAGCCATGTAAACATGCAGATTCATTGAGGAGTAGTGATTGACCAAATATTCTTCCAAATATAGCGTTTTCAGTCCAGTTACCTTCCATGAGAAATGTATAAGCTGACTTGATCGTAAAGTGGTGTTCAGGGTTCTATCTCCAAACCAGGGCATCAAATTTATCATTACTATCAGGGGTCTAACGCCGATGACATGAGGGATGACAGCTGGAATAAGTACTTGAGATAGAGCTTAAACGTCCCAATGGCCATGATCATCAACGAAATTGTGAATTTTCTGAGTTGAATCAACGTGTATATTATCCTGGGCATAATCACGTAAAGGCCCCAAACGCAACACCTACATGTAATTCTAGAAGCTTATAGTGTCTCCATTGCCCACCGACCAAACCAAACAGGAGAGCAATTACCTCCATATTTTCGATATTCCTCTCCATAATGGTGAGCAATTATGTTTTTCAATGGATAAAGGATGAGCCTCCAGAATTTTATACTTCTGTGATTAGACGGCATGCGATGAAGATAGTGTACGACTGTCTCAGGATAAGATTCATCCCATTTGCTATTACATAAGGCCCTGTCAAGACGAGCATAAGAGAAGCCCCTATTCCATGTAAATTCAGGACCTTGGAATCCCATGTCGCGAATGCCAAAATAATAAACAAAATCCTAGAAATTTTGCAAGGCCGAGTAGAAGTTGCACAATTCCTTATGTGAGAAGCAGTAAGCATGGCATTAAAATCTCCCAACAAGACCCAAGGGGAGGTAATATTCCAAGATAGGGACCTAAGGTAAGGCCAAAGTTGTTTCCGCTTAGTTGTATTCAGGCTGGCATATATAATAGATGCCAAAGTCGAGAAATTTCCATGGGAAGTAGAGATAGGACAGTGGATGAACTAGAAGTGATTGAGGAGTATGTTTACTTGGATTTTTTCATGCCAACATAACCATATGCCGCCTGAAAACTAGCAGTTTCAATACAGTGAGAGCGAGTGAAACCAGTGGCAACAATAAAAACATCAGCTCTGCCACCATTTATCCGAGGTTCAAAAATTGCTACTAAATCCGACTTAAAATCACGTAAATATTATCAAAAAGCCGTGAGAAAATGAGGGTGACCACATCCCTGGACATTCCAACATATTATTTTAACATCCATAAAGAAAGATAAGTGTAGAAACATCCAAATCATTCAAGGACGGGAACCACTTGGATTTCAGTGCAAATATTCTGCATGACATAGTTGTGTTGAGCAAGACTAGTAGGTTCTGCATCTGTTGATGTTAAAGGCGCTTCACTCGATTGAGCTTGGTTCATATCAGGTGGCTCTCGTGGTAAGAGTTTGTGTTGGGTGGCCCCATGTGTGGCTTGCAAGTTCACACTGTCAAATATGTTTGGATTAGTATTCTCTGATAGCACGATGACTGAATGTTTCGACCTGTCTAGTATAGAAACGTGTGACTCAACAGTGCTTTGGCGGGGTTGGTGGCTTGACTGATCATGGCATCCTTTCAAGGATTTAGCAGTGATCTTGGGGATCGTCAAAGGTTTAGGGACATGAGTGGGCACCTTGCTTTTAGCAACATTTTGATCACTAGAATTTCCTTTGCTTGACTGTGCATGAGAAGCTGGAGAAGGAGCATGGGGAACTTGGTTGGTGGTTGTAGCTTGGTTTGGATTTGCAAACATAGGATCAATAATATCATCGGTTGACTCATATAGAGGGTTGAATCTCGAACCATTGTTCTCCATATTTTTTCCTTTGTCCACAGAAAGTTTCTTATTGCTTTTTCGTTGCCTCATTTCAACAACCATCCATGGTCCAAAGGGTTCAGAGCTTTGTTTGGCATTTGGCAATTGTGTTTCAATTACTTGTTCTTCTGGGTCAGTTGAATCTTGCTGGTCAATAACAATTTTGTCTGGGCAAATATCTTTAACATACCCATACCGACCACAAGAGAAACAGATTATAGGTAGCGATTCATATTTGACGATCTGGATACACCCATTGATGTACGATTTTTTCAGGTCCACACTCACCGCCATTTTTACAAAACGTCCTCGACAACCAGTTTCCGTTTGATATTCAATTTTAACAACCTTCCCAATGCATTCACTAATTTTAATGATAAGGCTACGTTTATATAGGGTTACCGGTAATCCCGGAAGGCGAATCCAAGCCACAATTTTACTAGGGAACAAATGTGAGGAGGTAAAATCCGGTGACCACAATTCAACGGCTAAATAGTGTCCAAAGATTATCCATGGACCATCGGAGAAGGCAGTCAATAAATCTGAGCGTGTTCGTAACGAAACAAGAAAATAGTCGTTCTCTATGTCAATGAGACGAAAGAGCTGAGATGGCTTCCATAGATCATAAAGTTTATTCCAAAGAGTTGTGTAGCCAATACGCCTCCCAAGTAGCTTCACCACAGCGGTCTGATCAAAACTTTTATTGGTTATGGCTTGGACCCGGTCTGAGAAATCAATAGAGATTAAACCATCAACGACTCCACAAACTGTATCATCCTCAAAGACTTCAACATCTTCCTCATCCAAAATTTCATTATTGATCAAAGGTTCTTTAGGGTTGTCTTTAATGAGGGTGTCACGATAGGAGGTTGGAGCAGGTGGGATAACTGAAGTAGTTTTGCTGGCCACTTCGACATCCATACTGTGTGAAGCATTGCCGACTGTGTTCGGTGGTTCTTCATCAAGTCGGCGGGCTTTCTTTGATAAGCTATCCTCCGGGGTTTGTGGGGCTAGGTTTTCCATAAGGATTTTTTAAAGATGCCCCTTTAGTTGAGAGAACTTATTTTAATTTAATTTAATATATTATATAAATATTTTATATTAATTTATGATTTATATTAAAAGTTCAAAATAGAGAAATTTCTACAAAATAAATAAATAAATAATGTGAATAATTTCAACTATTAATTTATAATCATCCAATGATCTTAAACCCTATAAATTTTTTTAGTTGTTACCCTATCCTTATATATATAATTTAGACAGTTTATTATCAAATGCTAAAAGATCAAATAAAATTCATTAAAAGATTAAAAAAGGCAAACGAGATATATATAATATATATTTGAGAACCATGACACCTAAGTCTTCAAGTAGTTCGGTCACTGCACATTTATACGACTTTATTTGGATGCTTAAATATAACCAAGTGGCTCAAAGATCTTTATTAGCACTAATTTTTTTATTCGATGCTCCATCTATATATATATATATATATATATAATGGGATGTGGGCCTATCATTTTATACATTTCTTAAAAGTATATTTCATTTTACTGCCTAAAAATAATGGTTAATAACACTTCCATTGATTAAAGGATAAAATTATTTGAGTAATTTAAAGGTTAACTTGATGAAATTAAAAATATAAGATAAAATTGATATTTTGAGATTACAAGCAAAAATAACCCTTAAACCATCTTTTTATCATTTCAAACATTAAAAATTATAATTTATTTTTAACTTAAAAATAATAAAAGATATATTTTACAATTTAATCATAACTCCTAATTTAAATGTTTTTTGAACAGTCTTATGTAATTTTTTTAACGTAAGCATAACTAATATGATATATAAAAATATGATATAAATACATAAATTATTATATATACTACAAGCAATTCTTTGTATAGGTCAAAATTTGGATGCCCATATGAACTTCTAGGTACGTACAAGGTAGGGTAAGCGTGTCCTTCCTATAGTTAAAGATAAAAATCCTTTGGATACATTTCCCTTATTTTCTTAAGCTAAGATGAACAAATTAGCCTCATTTTAGGCGTGAGATTCCTTTTCTTCCCTCTTCTTCTTCGTTCTGAAATAATCTTTATTTTCTTGTAGTACATAAAAGTTTAGATCAGGGGTGATTCTCTTAATCCAAGGTCCATGTGTACCTAAAACTCAATTGAAATTTACATAAGAATTTATAGATTATCCACTAAAAGTGACGGTGGTAGAATTTGAATAAGCTCAAATCCTTGAATCCCAAACACTTGTATCAACACTCGTTAGTCTCAAATAAGCTTTGTTCAATAACTTGTTTGTAACAAAAAATTAAAATTAATTTTATATATAGATAATATCATATTGTTTTAATTATACTATTTTTGTGTTGGTCCATTTTATATCTTGAAAGATAATCTCATTTAAAACAACTTTTAGTGCCCCATATGACTATACATGAGGTAGCTGAAAAATAAATTGGAAAAAATCAAAGAGTTTAAAGGATTAATTGTTAAGCACATGAGAACCAGAAATCATGTTCTGGCAAACCTAACCCATTTACAAGCCTCAAATATTGAATTATATCCATCATACTTATTTTTACTTCTGGAAATTGAAAAATCTTCAGTTCGAAAAAGTATTGGCTTTGATTGTGTAGGCCATGTTATTCTCCTTTGACAACAAGGCCTGCCTGTATATAAGCAGTGCCTATTCTTTGAGATTCACATGCAAAGACAAAATCTCCCATAAAGAACTGTCTTTGTTTGTGTTCTTCCTTTTTGTTTTCTAATTCCATGGCAAGTTCAGTTGTTGTTTCATGGATGGTTTTAGGCCTTTTCATGGCAATTTCAACCACTCATGTTGAGGCTGCTGGCAGGGCCTTTTTCGTATTTGGTGATTCTCTGGTTGATAATGGCAATAACGATTATCTCGACACCACTGCTCGAGCCGACTCACCTCCTTATGGCATCGATACTCCTAGCCATCGCCCCACCGGCCGTTTCTCCAATGGAAAAAACATTCCTGATTTCATCAGTTAGGGCTTCTGCTCTTTTTCTTCATTGTGGTTTTATCATTTCTGATACTTATTTTGAGTTGGGATAACATAGACTCGTATAATGCTAAATGAAATGAGTTAAAATGTGTAATGCAAATCAGGTGATGCACTTGAATCAGAGCCTACATTGCCATATTTGAGTCCAGAACTTAATGGAGATAAGCTACTTGTGGGTGCCAACTTCGCTTCTGCCGGTATTGGAATCCTCAATGACACTGGAATCCAATTTGTAAGTCCTCAAATTTCTTTTTCCATAATCCTTTCAAATCCATTTTCCTAATTCTTTTTCTGAAAATAAATTATAATGTTGGCAAATGGCAGATAAACATTATAAGAATGTTCAGACAATTTGAATACTTTGAAGAATACCAGTCCAGGTTGGCCGACCTTATCGGAGAAGATGAAGCACAAAGGATGGTAAACGGTGCACTTGTCCTCATCACCGTTGGCGGCAATGATTTTGTTAACAACTACTACTTGGTGCCATTTTCAGCAAGATCTCGCCAATTCAATCTTCCAGATTACGTTAGATATCTCATCTCTGAGTACAGCAAACTTCTAATGGTAAAATCCCTTACCCTTTCATCTGTGTCACGTTCGATCATTCAAATTCCGATCATATCGAGTTTATCATGAATATAGAGTTAATGAACGCTATCGCAACCGGAACTTGAATGATCGAAACCCATGTATGTTGCAGAGACTGTATGAGCTAGGAGCACGTCGGGTTCTGGTGACTGGGACCGGACCATTGGGGTGTGTTCCTGCAGAACTGGCAATGAGGAGTCCAAGTGGTCAGTGTGACCCGGAGCTGCAACGAGCAGCGGCATTGTATAATCCACAACTTCTTGAAATGGTTAATGGGCTCAATAGCCAGCTGGGTACAACTATTTTCCTTGCTGCTAATACACAGCAACAAACCATTAATTTCATCAGTAGTCCAGGAGCCTATGGTAAGTAAAACATTATAGCTTAATATCATTTCCAAACACAAATATTTTAACGTATGAATGACAAATTTCTTTGTAGGTTTTAGTACATCAAAGATAGCTTGTTGTGGTCAAGGACTATACAATGGCCTGGGATTGTGCACTCCATTATCAAATTTGTGCCCGAATAGAGACGAGTATGTTTTTTGGGATCCATTCCATCCATCCCAAAGGGCTAATGGGATTATCGTTGACATGATTTTGAAGGGTTCAGCCGAACACATGAGCCCCATGAATCTCAGCACCTTCTTGGCTTTGGACGCCACCACCAAGACTTAGTTCAGCTCCATTTGCGCAGCCTAAGCTTGTGTGATACCATTTGTTGTATGCTATTGCCATACCATTCACTTGATCATTAATTTATTATGTTGTTCGTGTTGGAATTCACTTCTTGATAATTTGTAATCTTTCAATTGAATAAAATCATTAAATTATATCAAATGTTTGTAAAGTTATTTCAAAGGTTACTAGAATTTTAAAAATCTTAGTCAATCGAATAATTAACTCAAAAATGAAGTCGTAATGAATTAATATAATAAAATGTGTGAGAAAGTTAATAATCCTGTTAAAATCATATAAAATATCTACAAAATTTAATAATCTTTCATTAATTTTTTGAGCTAAAAATGTAACCCCTCAGACCGATGCGGATCACCCGATCCGATCTGGAGTGTCACATTAGGGCCACCGGAGCGACCCACCGTAAAAATAGCGGAAAATTTAAAACTTTTATTAAACATGTAAACCAATAAAATGATTTATCAATATTAAAAAATAAACCAGATTTTCAGACTCAAATATATAACAAAATACATTTACATGCCCCCTAATCACATGTACCATACTCTGCAAACAACGCCGGAAGAGCTCCCTTACTGATGTTGATAGCTGTACTGGTACAATTCTTTTAACCTGCACTGGTGAGTAATAGAGTGAGCTTCAAAAAGCTCAGTAATACAAAACTACCAATTGATGCTACAGAACATGCAGATAATTGGAAAGCCATATAATTTCCTTATTGAATCAGACGTATTCCGGTTTGCAGGATATAATTTGAAGTTCCACGGGTGATTCATCAAGTAGAAGCCATGAATATCTTAGTTCATAGGAAGCATTCATAGTATGACATTTTCAAGAGATCGAATAGGATGTCTAGTGTGTTCCAACAGTACAATAAAATCATAATAGGTACACTTATCAAATGATAGTTCAGTAAATCATCATAAAATCATAACGAAGTTTAACTTTTGAAACTCATAGTTTAAACCTTTCTCTTATACACCATCCGCAGTTCCCAGAACTGCATCCATAGGGCTTACCTTAAGCATACAGAAAAAGGAAGCCAACCTAAGGATAGGCTTTGGGGCCTGTATCCTTAAGTCCGTAAGTCCGTAGGGCTTACCCTAAGCACACAGCAAAGGGAGCCAACCTAATGGAGCATCTTGGGGCCCGTGAGCCTACCCAAGAGTCACATTAGGTCCTTAAGGTTTACTAGTTTGATCAGAGCTATACTCCGTAATTCAATCCATTCAAAATCAGTATTTCAAAATACAATTTATGCAGTAAGTATAATTTCCATAAATCTGTAATCATCGTTATCATATATCAGTGAAAACCAATAATCACATATCAGTCATAGTCCATAAACCATCACGGGTAAGTCGGTGTATCAATAAACAGTAAATCATAGATTTCAACGTACCATGTTTCAAAACAGATAAAATAATTATGTAGTACATAGGGAACACACTAGAGAATCCAAATATTTTCAGAGGCCATTGTAGTTATCAGTATAGATAACACAAAACTTATGAAATTTGGTCAGATTCCAGGAACGAGATCAAATTAAAGAGAATCGATTAACAATCAATCTAATCTGACATTTAAGGTTGATACTTTCGAATCCCTCTATGATTCATATATCTCAGGAAAGTGTTCAAATACGACTATAGTAATTTGATATGATAAAGTAGGAACAAAGATTCATTTCACTTACCATCCATGTCAATCGACCGGACTATCAACAACTCCTAAAATTGATGTATTTCATCTGGTCAATTCATTGCCCTTCCAGGGTATTCACACTGTAATACCAACGATTCTTGTTTATAGATCATTTTCAAAATCATCGCTGAATACATCTAAAGGAAGCAATAGAGAATCCAAATAATCTTTATTTATATCCACATGGCAACAATATCACGAATTATCAACGTATTTAATTCTTGGTTCATTTCCATAGTAATCATACATCATGCAATATCATTGGAGTTCTCAGACTCATTCAATCACTTACTAAATTCTCAGTCATTAAAGTTACTCGGTTCATTTAGTAGTCAAATCAATATCCCAGTTACTTCAGAGTCTTTCCGAGTAATTCAGATGCTTCTGCGTTTTGGATACATGTTGTCACTAGTAGAAAAAACCGCTTTAATGAAGCGCATTGCGCGTCATCTATTGGTGCGAATGACACACAAATGCCTGTCGTTGAAGCCACCGACATGAATTTTTGATGACGCGCAATTGTGTGTCATAAACCTATTACACACATTTATGACGCTCATTGCGTATCATTGAAGCCCCCGTCATAAATGAAGATGACACACATTTATGTGTCATAAATTTATGACACACATGTATGACTTACATTGCGTGTCATGATTGTATTTCGTAAATATATATATATATATATATATATATATATATTGTAGATTGACAAATAATCAAACTAAATCACATTTAATGCCTTATAATACTAAATATATATATCATATTATATATAAGCAATCCATTTGCACACAATATATTCACATTAAGTTATCAAAAATATTGTAATCATATGTGTCGATACAAAATATCACGACATAATAAAGTTTGTCACATAAGATTCCTCAAAACCCTATACAAATATAATGGGATTATGTTCTGTCAAAATGAAGAGAAGAAACTATCATCCATCTCTTCGATATGCCATTTGCTATAATAAATAAAATGCCTGTGAAAAACTCAAGAGAAGAAACTATCACCTAAGAGGCTGCTGTGTATCCGTCACGATGCGCCTTTGCCATCTCCATGTAATCTGTAAACTCTCTTGGAGATCGTTAAATTGAGCTGTCCAATTCAGATCCCGCCTTATCTTAGTTGGATCACTAAACAGTTCTGCATAGTCTCCAGGTCGGCGGGGTAGATAGTCGACTTTGATCTTCACCAGTGGCTTTCTTACATGCCTCCACAAAGATCTACCTCTTCCGGTGCCAACATTGTAGATTCCCACTTTATAGGGCTTTGCGTTTTGAAGAGCTTTCACATGAGCATCAACCAGGTCAGTAACATCGATATAATCACGAATGCAAGTCCCGTCGTGTGTTTTATAGTCCATTCCCTTGACCTACACGAAAATCACAATAACCATAACAAAGTTTAACAAAATCAATTTGAAACCATAAAGGCAAAACTATGGACATCTTGGGTGATAGGTGTGACAACATTATAAAAGTTACAAAAATAAAACAAACATGCAAAAAGCACATACAAAGTACAATTGTAGTAATTAATACACATATTATTTTATCATATACACAATCTTTTTCACTCGAGAAAATGCATCATTGTTAAACATGTGGAATGACAGATAATCATAGTTCAGTCCAAATCTTTCAAATCTTCAATGAGCTCTAAGATCTGCCTAACGTATTAAGCAGATGCTTGCAAAGGTGATGTCAGCATAAAAGAAAATTAAATTAGATACACAAAGCATCCAGTTATGCAAAATCATCATCTATAGCAAACTTGTTTCAAGGAAAAGATGAAAATATAGGCATTATAAATGATCATAGATTTTTTTCTAGCAGCTGCCAAACTTTAGAATCACTTATATATACTTTTGATTCTAATGAACTTTACTTGATACTCACACACAGAAAATCAATGATTTGATTGAACGCATATTTGCACTTCAGTATACTTCTTTACACTTCCCATTGTTAGGAAGAGAATACATTCACAAAATTGTCCAATTTCACATCAACAATATACACATGACCTTCAAGAAAGTATCTATGGTGTTCACAATCTTCCTAAAATAATGAAGTTTTCTCTATATTTTCTGTACATGATAGTTGTTTACATCTTGACCCCAGGTGTAGCTGAAATACATATCAATCATTAAAGAATCATAGTGAATGGATAAAAGGAATAACACACCTTGAGACAAGAATAATACCACGAGCTGCATCAAAACAAGCACCTGAAATTCATCCATGCTCACGCTACTCAGGTCTGGGAGCCTCACCTAATCTTCCTTCAGGATCTGACCCGATCATATTGAAGTATCTAAAATTCGCAAAAATATATATGAATCATAACCTCACCAAATTCCTTTTAATGTTCAAGTTTTTAATAACAATAATAATATTTTAATAGGAGAGCATATTGTTAGACTATCAACAATTGTGGTCAGAACTCTACACATTGAATATGATAGTAGAAGCCCTTCAAGGTCAAAGTTCATCAATCCTAAATTATTTTGAACTAAGCTACCTTCTATGGTTTCCTTGTAATCTAGAACTACAAAATGACAGTGTTAAAAACAGGACTATGTAAACCTTGTACGTATGTCTTATATATGCAGCAGTTGGCTGGTAGAACAATGAAAACTTATCAACTAACTCCCTCCAATGAGAAAGTATAATGATCTAAAATACTTAGTTTTGGTTTAAGGCATGGAAGACTTCTAGGATGCTAAGTTGATAAAATTATGCATATTGAGAAAAGAAAACATGGAGTAAACTCAAAGTTCCTAAAATTAAACTAAAATAAAACCTTAGGATCATTACTGCCATGTCAGAATTTTTAGAGAAATCCATGATGATATCTTCTGCCATTTTCTTAGCTTTTCCATATTAATTGATTGGAACCCGAGTTGGTTCCAAAATGAAGGTCAGTTTCCTTGTAATACAACTCTATATTAATCCAGAAATTGATGAAGGTTGATCCTTTAATATTTGGCCTCAAACAAAAATTTAAAAAGTTATCAAGCATAAAACCAAGTTTGCAACGTGCCTGTGGGGTTTCTTCAGTGATTGGCATCTTCTCAGGCTCCCCATATGTGGCACATGTACTAGAATATATCAAAGTCCTAACACCATGAGCAGCCATCGACTCTAGGACCACCAAGGTGTTTGGAGTAATGTTGTGATAATACCTACAAATCATGGGAATATATAGCATAAATAACATAATTTGGAGATTAGTTTAAATCATGCAAAAACTTCCCAATCAAAGATCAAGGAGTTAATTTTAAATGTTAAAAGATAAATGATTTTTAATAACACAACTAATGCAAATACAAGAGGACATTTGAATGGTGATGGTGTTAGAAAAAATCCATC